GGGATTAGCTTAGTGAAGATGATCCCTGTTGTTGGCAAAGCAATTCATATGCAGTTTAATTGATGTTGGATCATTATTGTTACTGGGTTTGAACTAAGTTCATTCTCTTGCCTTTACTGAAACAGCTGAGAGGAATCAGCTTTAGAAACCAGCTTCTTTGATTTTTTTTTCTATTTATCACTTTGCTCCCATACCCATAATAATTTCTGACATATCAGACAGGCTTGATAAATTTCTGTTGAATTGGATGAATGAATCAGAATTTAGAATTGGTTAAAGCCAGATTTATTTTCAAGTACTTGATGTTAGTGGTATGAGCTCTGGACACAAGTCAGATAATTTGTACTCTAGATTTTGCCTGGCCACTGACTGCCTGTGTTGTGACAGGTCCCTACTTTGATACAGGCCCTCAAATGCAATTTTTCCTTTCCAAAATGATGGAATTTAACCTATGTGACTGCTAAGGTCCCTTCCTTATCTCGGGTTTGTAGCTTTCTGTAGACTATGAAAATAGGAATAAAGTGTGATTTTCTTCTACTTTTTAAAAAATTTTGTTTACTCATTTTCTTTATTTTTATTTATTTAAAGAGGACATATACAGTGACCTCTCATTTGCTAGCTTATTCCTCAAATGCCTACAACAGCTGAAACTGGGGTAGGCCAAAGCCAGGAGCCTGGAACTCAATCTGGGTCTCCCCATGTGGGTGATAAGGACCCAACTACTTGAAACATTACCTGCTCCCTCCCAGGGTGTGCATTAGCAGGAAGCTGGTATTAGAAATAAACTGAGGCTCCACCCCAGGTACCTTGAGAGGCTGTGCGTGGGATGTGGGTATTCTAAGTGGTATCTTAACTGTTTACACCCAATGCCTGCCCTGGTGCTTAGGGTTTTTTACAAAACTCTTTGTTGGAGGAACTTTTGTGGATAAGATGAGCAGCACTTTGCATTTAGAATAGTATAAGAAATAATATCTGAGATTTTTGGATAACTCTCACTGTAAGTGAGGCATGAAGGTACCTCTGGCCTACTCATCTCCACTGTAGTAGGAATTTGCCATTTTCAAGGTCTCATATTTTGCTGGATGAGAAATAAATGTGTAGTAGACATCTGCAATAAAAGCTAGGTTAATCTGCTCACTGCCCATTACAGAGTAGGGCCATCTTCAAGGCGCTAAGAGTAGCAAGAACCTAATCTCCAGTCCTAGGCCCAATTATAGCCCTGCAAGGCCATTGCCATATATTGAACAGTACTCCTTCTTCAGTTTATCATTTGCCCTGTTTCCAAAGAGGCCCTGAAAACTGGAACCAACTGGGCAATTTCCCCACTCTAATTTGAGGCTTGCCTGTGTGTTTCTTGTTGGGTAAACCAGAACTGTGTCACAGATCTGCTGAATCTTTGTGCCCATGCAGCTCTCACCACTCCCTCACCTCTGATTCAGGCTCTGATACAAAGGTCGTGAGCTGTTTCTGTGGCCGTGGTGGCAGCTTTCTCATCTGACACCAGATTGACATTCAACTTGAACTGGGTTGAAGCAGCTCGGATTCCTAGCACATCCCTGCATTCTAACCCTGCTCTTCAGAATCATTGTGACTTTTTCAACTGGTGTCCAGGGCTGAGAGCCACGGAGGAAATCAGATCTGTAGCCAGTGGAGAGATTACAAAGGCAGGAAATTATAAGACTAAATACTACAGGTGACTTTCTCTTTTAACATCATGTGGATTTTATTTAAGGCTTTCATTACAACGAATAGAAATTAACCTTGACTAATGTAAAGGAAAAAAGAACAATTTGAATGAATATGGAGTGGGTCATGAAGTTGAATGAAAAAAATGGAAAATAAAACAGATTTTCAAAACAAGACAACTCCAGAAACACAGAGGACAGCAACTAATAAACAGTCTGATTGAAGAACCAGTGCAGGGATGTAAATAATGCTGGCATTTTCAGATCTTTATGGTTTGGCTAGTGATTCAGATTCTCAGAAGAGAATCTCACTGCCTGACTTGGGTGATGAACCAACTCTGGACCAGGGGAAAGCCCCATGCCTCAGATGACAGTGTAACCAACACTGCCCTTAGTGAAGGCTGAGCCGAACCAGAATGTTCCACCAAAAGAAGGGGAAATGCAAAGACAGCAGATGCCCAACAAGGAACCTTTCCTCTGTAGGGCGGTACTGGGAGGGAGTAAATTCAGCCTCATAGCCAAAGAAACTGGTCCCTGGACAGGCATTCTTCCCTCCCTCCCTTCTTCCCTCCCTCCCTTCCTTTCTTTCCTTATTATTATTATTATTTTTTTAGATTTATTATTTATTTGAAAGGCAAAGTTACAGAGAGAGAGAGAGGGAGAGAGAATCTTCCTTCCACTGGTTCACTCCCCAAATGGCCTCAACAGTTAGGGCCATCTCCCATGTGGCTGCAGGGACCCAAGGACTTGGGCCATCCTCCACTGCCTTCTCAGGCACATTAGCAGGGAGCTGGATCAGAAGTGGAGCAGCCAGGACTAGAACTGGCACTCGTATGGGATGCTGGCATTGTAAGCGTCAACTTTACCTGCTCTGCCACAATGAGAGCCTATGGCATTCTTTTCTTAACAGTTGTCAAAAAGACCCACATCCAGGGCCAGCCTTGTGGCATAGCAGGTAAAGCTGCCATCTTTGACACCTACATCCCATATGGAATGCTCCACTTCCAATCCAGCTCCCTGCTAATGGCCTGGGAAAAGCAGCAGAGGCTGACCCTAGTGTTTGGGCTTCTGCCACCCACATGGGGAACCCAGATGAAGTTCTTAGCTGCTGGCTTCATCCTGGCCCAGCCCTGGCTGTTGTGGCCAGCTGGGGAGTGAACCAGCAGATGGAAGACCTCTCTCTTTCTCTCTCTCTCTCTCTCTCTCTCTCTGTGTGTGTGTGTCTCCCCTTTCTCTCTGTAACTCTGACTTTCAAATAAATAAATCTTTAAAAAATAAAAAAAATAATGATCCACATCCCCCTAGGAGGGTTCTTGACTGTGATTTCAGCATTCTTTTTGTCTCTAATGCCTTATAGAATTGAAGTCAGTAATTAGCAAAGAGCATCTTTGATTATTGTAGTTGCCTGCAGTAGAATGCCTCTTAAAAATCACTTGAATAAGATAAAATCACCGTCAGCCTCAGCATCATCAAAATGTGGGCCAGTCATTAGCAGTGAAGGGTCAGAAGAGCGTCCTGGCCACTTTCTCACTTGTGGCTGTATAGACTGACAGGATTTGAGTCTTTGAGGGCTTGACTGGAGCGAGTGACTTCAAAGGCTTTGGCAAGAGGGATATTTCTGCTTCTATAGGCTGAGGGATTTGTAACAAGAAGCCATATTGTGGGGAGCAGATTGTAACAACAAGGGGGTTTTCAATGAGGATGCACGTTGATCTGGAATGTTTTCTCATCTGTGTTCACTCATCCCTGGATATCTTCCCTTCGTGCTCTCTTTTTCAAGTGGATGACCAGCTGCGTGCCACCTTTCTCTTCCTCTTGGCCTCTGTTCCTGATTCTTTCTCTCCCCGAGCCACTCCGCTTGCCTCCCTCCAGTCCTGTGTTTTTCTAAATCTTTTTCATCTCCCCTTTCTTTTCCTCCTGTGGTTGATTCATCTGTAGCTTCTGTTCCTCTTTCCTCAAATTCCCTTCCTTTTCCCTTCTTCTCTGAACTACCATTTGACTCTCCCCTGCCACCCAGGCATCTTCTCTCTTCTGCTGTTGAGCCTCAGTGTGCCTGACCTGTGTGCCAAAAGGCAGGATCCCCAGGCCCCCTCCATGCCATTGCAGTGAAATGCAGCAGCTGTCACTGCCCAACAAGAGATAAAGAACCCTAGCAGTGGCTGTTTGCATATGTCTGTTCCTGTGGGTTCATGAGACTTGAGACAGATGACAGTGTTCCCTGAAAGGAGAGGGACTTCTATCCCTTCAGGTCAGGAAGAGAATTGAGCAGAGAGCTTTGCCTAAGCTTATTTCTTTATTAAGTTTGTGGGCAAGAACCTAAGATGTTATATAAGGAAAATAGCTGATATTAAAGAGAGGAATGGAGACAGGAGACCAATAAACAATCAGGCACTAGAATATCCTGCTGACACATTATTGATAGCAGACACGAGGAATGTATTATAAATGCAATGATAGAACAGAAAGCGGCACTAGGATAGAAAGAAGTGGTAATAAAATCCAAGTGATTCATATGTTTAAATGAAAGAAGAAAGAGAGCAGTGCACTTCATGCAAAAGGGCAAGAGAATGGAAGCAGAGGCGTAACTGGTGGAGAAAAATGAAACAGAAATACAGGAAGCCCTCACATCGATAAAATAGTACCTGTCAAACAACAAACAAAGGAAAATGCAACCACGCTGCTCAGATGCATCACCTGTAGTACTTTGGGTGTAAACAGTGATATAATACTAGAGTAATGTCTTAAAGACATCAGCCGTCAAGTCTCCCAAAAAGGGAATGGTAAGAATTGGATTAGATGAAGTAAGGAAAATGCTATGTGACGCACATCTGAAGGGGGAAAGGGGATTTTCAAAGGCACTGGCAGGGTAGCAACTGGCACGGAAGAAAAGCAAGATGGTGCTGCCTACCCCGAGTGCTGGGAGACCAAGCTGGCCTGAGAAACAGCAGACCCACCTAACTGTTTGCCAAGTACTGTGCTAGGCGCTTTGCATTCACTTCTAATTTAAGCCTCACATACGTAAAAGTGAAGCCAAAGACTGAGAATGATATCCATGGGGAGGAAAAAGCAAAGGGAATTTTCTGAGCCACTTCCAAAGTCACGAGGCTCAGGGGGAATAACTTTGATTTTGTCAAGTCAGAGTGAGCAGCCAAAGGCAGCAGACATAGGATATTGTCAGAGGTAAATCACCCAGCTCGGTCTGTTCTGTCTTATTGCAAGGTCATAGGACCACGGCAAGCCAGCCAAATGTTTCAGCTATGGAAATCCCCTAACTTTCCAACTGCTGCGGTCCCACAGCTCTGAGCTTTTACTCACAGGATGGCTCTCGTCCAGCTTTCAAATCTCTCCAAGTTGATTAATCATTTTCTTGTTCTGACTCATTCAGGCCTCGAGAAAATAGCTGTGGGTTCTGGATAGGCTGTGTAGATCAAGGAGGTCAGATAAATGGCTTGATGTTGGTCTGTAGAAAAACCTAGAAAATAATGCCAGAAAGCTTTTTAAGCCCACCGTCCTTACATGCTAGTAAGTGGCTTGTGAGTGTGTGTGGGGCAGAATATTTCACGGGCATTAGCAAACGTGGGCCTATGTGTGTATTATCCTTCATAGTGTAAGATTAGGTATTCTAAAAGGTCTACTGTATGGTGACAGCTACTTTTAAGTCAGTTTAGCTAGACTGTGGGCTGGATCATAAGCCTCTACCAATAGTATCAGCAAGCCATATGCAGTGCTGAGTATTTACCAGACACTGTTTGCAGGACTGAAGGGACAGCCCTGATTGTCTAAGTCAAGGCCGTATATTGCAGATTACATCTTTTGAGGTCAGGCTAACAATCCTCATAGTTTGTTATAGTTTATTACAGAAGAAGTGTTCACATTTAGATTCTTCATTATGCTTTTAAGTCACACTAGAAAGTCTTGTCATGCTTTAATCTCGTGGTGTATGCACTGAATTCATGGACACTGATGAAGTACCCTAGTGCAAATCATTGAGATAAAGTAGTAAATAAGAAAGCACCCCAGACATTGTATTAGCCACTGTGTTAGTGCTTTGTGATTGGTATGAGCAAAATACTTAGGAAAGCACATGAGAAGCAACAAATATTTCTACAAAGGAGATGAGGAAACTTTTGGGTTGGAACTCGTAGAATATAAAGTGTTTTCCAGATTGACAAGGGAGGGAGGAACATCATCAATACAGGAACAGCATACGCAAATGCAAAGAGGTGTGGAAAGAGTAGTGTGTTCAAGATAAAGTAAGACATTTCTTAAGGACTTTTGGCAAAAAATGAGGCTCGATCAGTTAGTTGAAGTAGAAATTGTGGTGGATCTTGTATTACCTGCCAAGGCCTTACTCTGTAAGACTGAAAGGGCTTATGGAGGTTCTAAAAAGAGTAACTTCATTTGATTACATTTTCAAAAGGAGAATTCTGATGATAACATCAGGTGGGAGAAAAGGATCATGCGGAGACCAGCTGGAAAGCTGCTGTGTGGTCTAGAAGTGGTAGCAGGAGGGGAGAGGTGAAAGGACAGATTTGAACAGCATTTGGGAGTTGGATGCAGGGGTTGACATTTGGAGAATTACCCCACATAGGGACTGGGGTATTGGGTGGATCAGGATGCCTTCAAGAAATTCAGAGGACAAGCAGCCTTGGAGGAACTATAAGGTCACTGCATAACATGTTGAGCTTAAATTAGGATACTAATGAGATGATACATTCGGGAATAGAAATCTAATAGGTGACCGTGGTATGAGTCAAGAAAGACAGCTAAGAAGTACCTAGAATCCTCCAAGTCAAGACAGTGGATTAGGTCAACCAGGCAGAAGAGAAGGGAGCCAGGGACAGTGGAGGGTATATTGCATCCATACTATCTATCAAAGAATCCATCATGCTGTGAATAGAGTTTTAGTGATCACCACCTGGTTGTTTGGTTACCATGTTTATTGTTTCTATAGCAGAGCACACTTAATGAGATTTGAAGTCTCGGTCCAAGGCTAGTAAGACGATGACCCTTCTAGGCTGTTACCTTTGTGCCTCCTTTGGGGAGGAGTAGGGGAATTGTTCTCTGAAACACATTAACACATGCTCCTGCTTAGCTCTCCCTGGCTGATCTGGATTCCCGACAACTGCTGACGCTATATAGATTTGCAGACGTCCACACAAAGGAGTGTCATTTGTATGCAGCCCCTTAACTGATTGTAACAATCTGTTCCTTAAGTCTCCTAGAGAACACACAAATTGATTCCCCAGTGCTTGTCCGTTTTCAAGGACACCTGTATGACCCTTCATCAAATCACCTATCCCCCTCCCCTTTTATTCACCTGCTATTTCAATTATGTGAACAGTAATGCGTCTGCCTCCAAAGTCCCTGTCCTGGGAAATTTCTTCATAAGAGAATTGTTGGGAAAATATTCAGCTGTGCAGCCAACTCCGGGATTTAAATCTCTTGCAGCCTGCAGAGCACCTGGATTCAAGTGTCTATTCCCTCCTGACGTTGGAAGAATGAGCTGCGTCTTGCCCTGAAGTTCATAAGCATATTGAGAGGCCGTGAGTCTGTTTCCTCCCGCTGTTCACTGCAGCAATGAAAAATAAATGAACTCAGATAGTCCAGAGCCAGTGTCAGGTATCACCAGACGAGGCCTCACGGTGTTCTGGAACTTAGGAGCCTTTATGCACGCCTGTTGAGCAGGCTGCTGGAGCCCGCCTTCCTCACAGATGGGCACTTTCCTTTTGGGAGAATTGCGTTGTCCTGGCTCTGGCTCTAGTTCCATGCTGCCCCTGCCTTCCAGTGCCTTTCACTGAAGAGCTCTGTGTATTTGTTATCAGATTGGGTTTTCTGGGTGGTGGAGGTTACCTAATGTTTAAAGCTTTCTGAGCCCCTTGAACGTATTTCACTTTATGTACTACGGTGTTCAGTAGACAAAGGAACCGCTGAGCCAACGCCAGCCCGTACTTACTACAGTATTGACCCTGGGTCACGTGCTAGCAGCCATGGGCGCTTCTACCTCACAGGCATGTTTTACTTGATTCTCCCAATGATGTCTTTAAAAAAAAAAAAAAAGTACACACATGCATTCATGATTCAGTGTCACCATTTAAAAACAGAGAAAAGCCCAGGTTTCTGACTTCTTTTCAGGATTGGAAGAGATGTCAACATTGGTCCATAGTCTTGCAAAGTTACAAGTGTTAAACCTGAACAGCTGTAAAGGGTACACTGGACAAACATTTTTTCAATTGGCCAGTGTTCATTACCCCCTATTTTTCTTACATCATACCCAACCTCATTCATATATGTTATATGTCTTGCCTCTGTAGTCTGTTTATAGGCTCTGGTAGCAGAATTATTTAGACACTTACAACTTTAAAATTTTGTTTATTTTATTTTATTTGAGAGGCAGAGAGAAAGAGAGAGAGCGAGTGCAAATGAGCAAGCAAGCTTCTGTCTGCCGGTTCACTCCCTAAATGCCTCCAAGAACCAGGGCTGGATCAGGCCGAAGCCAGGAACTGGAAACTCAGTCTAGAACCACATGGCCAGCAGGCAGCCGAATGCATGAGCCATCAGCACTGCTCCCAGGTGCACATTAGCAGGAACTGGAGTTGGAGGCGGAGCTGCAGCTTGAACCCAGGCACTCTGATGTGGGTTCTGTGTGTCCCATGAGGTTGCTCAACCGTTGTGCCACATACCCGCCCCAGCACTTCCAATTCAACATGACATTTCCAAAACCTGTAGATAGCCTTATTAAGATATGATTCACGTACCATAAAATTCACCTATTTAGTGTGCAATTCAGTGTTTTGTGTTTATTCAGAGTTGTGCTGCTATTGCTACAGCTGTATTTTAAAACATTTTTACCCCAAAAAGAAATCATGTGCCCATTAGCAGGAACTCCCTGTTTCTAACCCTTAATCCCTGCCCAAGTTTTAGGAAACCATCAATCTGCTTTCCATCTCTATGGATTTGGGTCGTTTCTTTATATCTTTAGCTATTTCATAAATAATGTTACTGTAGAGGCCAGCGCCATGGCTTACTTGGTTAATCCTCCGCCTGCGACGCCAGCATCCCGTATGAGCACCGGGTTCTGGTCCCCGTTACTCCCCTTCTGGTCCAGCTCTCTGCTGTGGCCCAGGAAGGCAGTGGAGGATGGCCCAAGTGCTTGGGCCCCTGCATCTGCATGGGAGACCAGGAGGAGGCTCCTGGCTCCTGGCTTCTGATTGGCGTAACTCCGGCTGTGGAAGCCATTTGGGGGGTGAACCAATGGAGGGAAAACCTTTCTGTCTCTCTCTCTCTCACTGTCTAACTCTATCTGTCAAATAAAAAAAAAATAATGCTACTGTATACATTTATATACATGTTTTAGCATGGATATATGTTTTCTTTACTCTTGGAATATACCTAGGAGTGGCATTGGTGAGTCATATCTTAATTCAGTGTGTTAACATTTTGAGGAACTGACCAGTTGTTTTCCAAAATGGCTGCATCATTTTCCATCCCCACCAGCAATATATGAGAGTCCCACTTTCTCTCCATCCTTGCCAGCACTTCTTATTGTCAGACTTTTAGCCATAGTCATTGTGAAGTGATAGCTCATTGTAGTTTTAGTCAGAAACATTTTTTGTGAAACAGAATTCCTTAGTTTTTATAAGAAAATGCTGCTTTGCTAACCCTTACTCATGCCCGGGACTCTCAATTTAGTCTCAGCTCTTGAAGCCAGACCACAAAGTCTAGGTCGTGGTTTGGGTAGCACCTGCATTGAATTCCATCGACTTGAGGTTTGGTGTGACGCTCGTCAGAAACTCAGATTCCTGGATCCCACCAGGAACCAGAATGTCTGGGGTGGAGCGTGACCTTGAGCAAGTTGTGTTGCTCCTCTTAGTTCCAGTTTTGAGCTCTACATCAGGGCACTGGACACGATGTTACCCACGGTCCCTTTCAACTGTAATGTTCAGTAGCATTCTGTGAGCATTCTATTGGAAGACACTAATTCTGCAGGAATCTTGGCACCCTAACAATGACAACAAAACGACCAACGTTTATTGAGCAGTCATAACAGGTAAGGCACCGTGCTGGCTGCTTGGGCCATGTAGATGACTAAGTGGTGGCCCTCATCCTTGGAGAAATGTGGTCTCTTGGGGGAGCCTCATTGCAGAGAAGATATAATAGTCATCTAGGAAGTATCCCCACTCTTCTGTGACTTCCCTCTGGAGCACCTGGGAGCTCAGGGTGGACTCATTCCTCTGCTGGGACCCTCCCAATGCCCATTCTCCCACCCATTGCCTCCCTTTCACAGCCACTCTTGGTGGCATCAAGTGTAGCCAACACCGAGGAGTCCCAAGTGTATAATGACAACCTGCTCTCTGTCTGACTCGGAGAAGGCACAGCCGTTCCCGTCACACCTTCACCCTCCACGGCCCTGCTCCTTCTCCCCAGGTTCTCCTCCCAAGGAAGTCGCACTTCTCCGTAGTCTTGTTTCTCACTGAGCCCCGGGCTCCGTCCCAGCACCGACTCTGGTGTGTTTTCTTCCCCTCACTGATGTCTTCCTCTATCCACTGCGCTCTCTCTCCTTTCCCTACCTCTGACTTCCACATAGCCCAGCCCAGAGGTACTGAGCAATGTCTGAGACCCTTGAGCCTCCTTTATAACCACCACCACCATAAGAGCCACACAGATGCTCTTAGTCCAGCGGAATCCGGTATAACCATCAGATGTCCCACTGATCACATTTCAATACTCTGTTTCCTCGTCCCCTTAAATGTACTTTACTGGCAAGAGCCTTGGTTCTAGTTCAGAAAAATTTGGCTACTCTTAAGTGTAATTCAATATCTGAATTTTAGAAAAAGAGAAGAAAGGCCTTAGGTTGTATATGAAAAAACTACATTAGTTTACACTAGTCACACTTCTGACCCAGAACACTTCTTTATTTTTACATAAACAAGGACTTCGGAAAGTTTGTGAAAAGCAGAATTTAAAGATAACAAAGTTTACTTTTGTGAAAAAAAATTGGAATTCATGCATTGTTCTTTCATATTATGCATTTTCCATGAATTTTTTGAAAACCTTTGTAGTCCATCTGCCGGAGGGCTGGCATTGTCATGTAATGGGTTAAGCTGCCACTTGTGATGCCCACATCCAATGTAGCAGTGCTGACTTGAGTTCTGGCTCCTCTGCTTCTGATCCGGCTTCCTGCTAATGCATCCTGGGGAGGCAGTGGATGATGGCTCAAGGTCTTGGACCCTGCCCTCTGCATGGGAGATCCAGATGGAGGTCCTGGCTCCTGGCTGCAGCCTGGACCAGTCCTGTCTGTTGCAGGCATTTGGGGGAATCAACTAGTGGATCGAAGATCTCTCTCCTCTCTTCCTCTCTCTCTCTCTGCACCCTCCACTGTCTGTCTGCCTCTCTCTCACTCTGCCTTTCAAGTAGATGAAAATGAATAAAATAAAGATAAAAATAAGTTTATAAAATTTAAAATAAGAACATCCGTGGAGGCATGCAGAGCCAAGAGACTTTTCCCTACCATCTTCCTGACGTTGTCCAGGAACCTTCCCCTCGACCCCTCTGTACCCGCAGCCCTGGTCTTTCCAGGGCACCCTTATTACCTTGGGTGTCGGAGCTGCAGTGGTCAGGGCTGCCTCAGCGTGCTTCGTTTCAGAACAGACCTCTCCTCCAGCTCCAGAGCCACGTCCCATGCCTGCTCTGTCTGTAGCATGGGGGATCAATTCCAACAGCACCCTGCCCCCTAGGATCTGGAAGCCTTTAGCAACCTCAACTCACTTCCATACACAGCCACTCAGAGACAGATGGACAAGAAACAGGGACTTCTGATGATTGTCTGTTCAGGGAGAGGAGAGAGTAGAAGAAAAATCCACCAGTAGTGGGAGTCTTTCTCCTTCAGGCTAGGGTCATCCTTGCGGCTCCTGACGTGAGGGACCAGCATGCATTTCCTACAGCACGTGTGTGCATAGGACTCGGACTTCTCACTTACTCTCTGTTGCGTTAGAAGTGCTTTACTCATCCACTGCTAGGAGGCTGAGTGGTGATGGAGGATGACTGTTTCCCTAAGCAGAGAAGAACACACTGAGGTTTCGACTGGCACAGGAGCTTGCTCTGTGCTGAGTCACCAGCAGAGTAAGACAGAGTGTCCAGCGTACAGGAGCCCCTTGTGCGTGCGGCCTGACGCCGGGCCATGTCCCTGCCCTCGTTGACTTCTCAAGGAAACAACTTCTATTCCCACAGCCACCCGGACTCGCTCACAGGTGATGCCAGCACGCAGGAACTTCAGCCGGTGATGGCCGGCCTTGATGTTTCACTTTCTTCTGGGGCTACTTTCTGGGTTTCCAAGTTGAGTGATCCGAGAAGGAAAGGTGTTCTTTTCCTTGTGTTGAGTGGTTTGGGGAAAAGCCGAGAGGGAAACGTAAAGGAATAGTTACTTGCTTGTCGCTCCCCCTCTTCGTGGAGGAACGACACAGGACCCTGCGCTGTTCTTTCGTCTGCTCGGCCCTCCCCGGGTTTGCTGCTGGTTCTTCCCGGGTTGGCTACTATCCCTTCCACCTCCGTGGAAGGGCAGTTCCCCCTGGCCACATTCCCCTCTTCCGCAGGGGAGCGGCACACCGCCGGCCGGTTCTCTCGGGGGCTGCACGGGTTCCCTTAGATGTTCCCCATAGATGTTCCTGGTGCATGCCGTCTCTCTCCTCCTTTATAGTCCTCCTCCGCCAATCCCAACTCGGCTGCCCACACGCCGAGTACGCTGCTCTCCAATCAGGAGCAAGTCCTACAGTTAATTGGTTGAACTGGAGGCAGCTGTGCGGAAGCTGTTTACTTCTCTCCCAGCGCCATATTGTGGGAGAGCAGATGCATAGAATAAGTCTTAATTCCAGTAACTTAGTCCAGTCCGGATTTGCTCCCCACACTTGCTTTGTCTCCGGCACTGTACCGGGTACGTTACCTACACTGTTAAATGAAAATGAAAGCAGATTTACATGGGACTCTGCAGAGTAAAGCGATTCCATTGAGCCTGCCATCTTTGCGTGTTTGCTATTTGTTCTATGGGCCAGCAGCTGTTCGTGTTTTCTTGGCATTAACCTCAGGTACTCTCCCCAGATAGCCTCTCTCATGGCTTCTTGTCTTTCCCTTATAAATGCATTTCAAGGACAATGAAAAACCCAAATCACACTCTCTCCCCTCTTGGAAGCTGCTCTCCAGGGTTGGAATCTAGCATCAAATAACCTCCCCTTTCCCTTTCTTTTTTATTTTTTCTTTCTGTTTTTGTTGTGAGAAAAATCTACTGGGCTGTTTTTAAATTGTCAATCATAAACTCATGATAGCATATTTGGTTTCATCATTTCAGTTTGAATTCTCAGAGTTTATTTTATTGATTTTTCTCGAGTGTGGTTTCTGCTGGCTTCCCCCCGAGGCAGTCCGGGCTGTGTGGTTTTCCCCCACCAGTCCCAAGATCAGCGTGTGATTCCCCAGCCCAGTCGTGTCTCTGCTTACGCCTCCTGCAGCCTGTCCCTCGGCCCTGGCCTTCTGAATTGCGCAGCCTTGGGCACAGACCGCCTCACTTTCCCTGTGTGAGCGCAGGCTGTTACCAGGATTGAATGACTCTGGCCATGCCCGTCCTGCCTTCAGCTCTCCCTACCCTGGTCCGCCCTGCACACAGCTGTCGGAGCAGTTTGTTGCAGCCCAGCCAGCCTTTGGCTGTGCGGCTTCTCTGGTTTCCACCACCTGTGTCCTGGCATCCGAGGCGCTTCCAGGCTAGTCCACACTGCCCTTTCCACCCCCGCCTCTCGCTGCCCTCCAGCATAAACCCCAGGCTTCCAGGCGGCCGGGGCTCACCACCACTCCTTGCCTTTGCCTTGCTTTCTTTACTTGACGCTTGGCTCAAGCCATCCCGTTTGCCCAGAGTGAACCCTGTTCTCTCCTTTGCTAAAGGTACCTTGCCTAGCCAGGGAGTGGCTGGAAGTGACCACCAACCTCTCAACTCCTGGATGGTCTCTGCTCTGTCTCTGCCCAGACTGGCCTTGGCACAGATGGCCTGGACTAGGAGACGTGAAGGCTTGTTTCCCTTCTAGGATGTCAGCCCTTGAAGGCAGAGAGTCCAGTTTTTCTTACGTGTCAGTGCTTAATAAATATTTGTTGAGCAAATACACAACAAAGCCCCTTTGGGTCACCTTTTTGTCTCTTCAGCAGGAATTCAGCGGTTTCTTCCCGGGAAGGTGGCACACACAGCCATCAGGATTTGGCCTTACTTGGTCAACATACACTCTTTGGAGTACCTGCTAAGTGTTAGAAACTGCTGATTTTCTGGGTTGAAAACAATAATTATAACTGATTTTTTGAACCCTGGGTACTAAGCACCATGCTAACTAAGTACTTTCCATCCATTTTCTCACTTGGTACTCATGACAACCACTTAGGGGAAGATATGATTACTACTATTAATTAATTATCATTAGCATATTACTAGTAAACTGTAGGTCAGCAAACTTAGTGATTGCCCCAGCTCGTCAGTGGGTGGTAGAGCCTCTTGATTGCAAGATGTGACCTGTTCCTAGGGAGGCGTAACCTTGGGCAAGGAATCTCTGTGGCCGAGGCTGACCCTGGAGTTACTGATGCCAGAGCCTGGCTGCTGATGGAATTCCTGTCTCTGGGCAGCAAATCCTTCCTTGAAGGGGGCTCTGGCCAGCGCATTTAGTATCTACTACACTAATGCCCGTAAGTAGTGTCTGTTTCAGATGCATGCTTCCAAATTAATTTACATCCAAATGCTGGGACTATTTATACCACACACACAAAAAAAGGATTTTTAAACACAAGAACTCTTTTTACAAAATTTTTATTTATTTATTTGAAAGGCAGAGAGAGAGAGAAATCTTTCACCCTTTGGTTCATTCCCCAAATGGCTTTAATGGTCAGGGCTCTGTCAGGTCGAAGTCAGGAGTGAGAAACTCCATCCTAGTCTCCTACATGGATGCCAGAGACCCAAGTACCTTCCCAGGCACATTAGCAGAAAGCTGGGTTGGAAATGGAGTAGCTGGTGTTACAAGTGGTAGCTTAACCTGGTGCAGCGTAACGCCAGACCCTAAACCTGATTAGTATTTATTGCCTTTCAGTTCCCTGATTGCCTTGATTCACATGGGATACTCGTTTTAAAAATATTTTTGATATCACAGTGTTTTGGAATTATGATTTTTGGTATTATGAGTTTTTGTCCCAAAAACTTGCCTATATTATCATGCCTGTTTTCTAGTTAGGGACAGATCTTCAAGCTTATTTAACTGTCGCAAGTTTTAGGACAAGCCTTTTTCTTTCTGTAAGGCATTATTCTCATTTTTGTTCCTGTTGTAAGCTTCCTTATATTACACAAACTTTCAGCCCAAAATGGCAACTTTCTGCACACTGTTTCAATATTTCTAAGAGTTGATCTTTTCACTTAAGTCCTCCAGCATGTAAGAACTGCTGAGTAGCATCACTGTTAAATTGCCGCGATTAGAATCATGTTTTATTTTCTGAGGTCTACAACTTGCTGACCGGGGGAGGGGGTGCCCCCAGCTTTTCCCTTCTTTGGAGCGTTCAGTTTGCCTTTGGTCACTGAGGAATAGTTCAGCTCTGACACGGTTCGGAGCCTTGAATTTTACTGCTTCAGTTGCTCCATAGTAATGGACACATCATACACATCCCAGGTCCCACGTTCCGTTTCTGTGTGGACGCCACAGCTAGACTTGAAGGAATTCTCTGTGTTCTGGGGAAGCTGTGTTGGTCTGTTCCCCTTACGCACGGTACACGCAGCATCACCTGTGGGAAACCACTTGTGTTTCTGCTGGCATTTCATCACCGTGGGTGCATCCCAATCTGATTATACGCTGACTTGTAATCAGCAGAGGCTTCCTCTCATTTAATTTTCTGTTGACTGTATATTCCTCCAGTTTAGAAACCTCCGAGATTATTGTATCAATTTCAGCTTCATTAAACAAGTCTCCTGTCATGATGGTCTGCTTTCAGTCAATCACTTTTCTGTTCAGTCACTCTGTCAACCCATATTATCTGTTTTGAAAACAAAGCAAAACATGCTAATATGTTAGTGAGCTCCCCGCTGCCATCTAAAATGGCTTGGAAAGAACTCAGTACTGACTTAATCCAGCGGGTCACGTCACCCCGCTAATAGTGAGATACTTGATCTTGGGAGAAGAAAGAAAGACATCTTGACCAGAGTCTTCAGTGGTATCTGATTGGGGTACAAGGAGAACTCATCAAAAACATAGAAGCTGCATTTCCTAGGAAATCGAGGCTTTTTCCTGTATTTGGGAGTGGTAAAGGATACGCCCAAGAACTTGGAACAGATACAGCATTGGCAGACAAACAAAAGATCTGTAGGGCAGGACTTCCTTTTTATTCCCATGAGCTCTCTCTCCTATTGTCTCCAGGAAGATGGAGCAAATACCCAGACAGAAGCTGCTTCAGTATTGTCTTGTTGAGAGGCCGCTGTCTTCAGGGGCTCCTCTGGTCCACAGTGTCTGCTGGACAGTTGGAGGCTTTTTGAAGCCATTGTATTGTTAGAGAATAATTAGGGTGAGTGAAGCAGGGGGTAGGGGTTAACAACAATTCTTTGTTGCAAGCAATTGCTAGTCTTGGCATCAGTATTGGTAACAAGGGCAATCTACTGGAAGGAATGGAAACAAAGGATGGAAAGGTTGCGGTTGGTTTGTCTAATCCATCCAGCAAATCCACCCATGTGTAGCCATTATGCCCCGTGAGCTATCTGGAAACGCATTTGGTCACACTGCATTCCAAGCCACTGGGTGGGTGATCTCTGGGCAGTCTTGTACATGTATTTCCTAGAATGCTTCCCATAGCCAAAAAGGGGATGCACAGGTGTTGCCTTGGCAATTAATCGGCGTACTTCACAAAGAAAATAATCTCCTAACGCTGGGCATGGCGTGAAAGGCTCACGACCTTTCCCTTGGAAGGGAGAGTTAGAGAATGTCCCAACATAAAATAGCCGAGATTGGTCTCTCGATACCAAGGCAAAAAAACACCTAAGCAGAACCATAGCCAGTGTCCTCACTGTCTGCTCCAGCGCCTCTGGGCCAGTCAGGCCTGCCCTGGTGTTGGGAGTTATAATCCTACTTGCGTTGTGATCTACAGGAGGCCCAGCCAGGGTGGAGGCCAGCAAACTGGGATGGCTATCAATTTCCTGCTTCCAAGATAGTTGTGCTCCTTGGGAGGTCATCCCTGTCTCCCCTCGCTGATTTGGGGAGCCAGAAAGGCTGCTAAATCTTGAGTCAAGAAGTCTTGCCGCTATGGTTGCTCGGGCTCTTGATGCATTCATAATAGACAGCAGGGGCCTGGGTGCAAGTTTTATCATATCGCCGTGGTCCGCTGGTGGGTGTTGCTTCGTAGGTCCTCCTCCCAAATCGGCTTTCCACCAGAGGTTCCCAAACACAGACAGGCCTGCCTCAAATATTTGGTTCAAATGGTGCAACCGAATTGACCCTGTATCTCGTTTCCTGTTGCTTATCAAAAAGGGTAGAGACACAGAGGCAACCGAGGTAGGCATGTCTCCAGGGAGATTTGTGACCTTAGGTACAGATCCCTAAAAGGCAAACTGCTGCTCTCACATAGTGAGGAGAGCACCAGTCCCACAGTGTGACTTAGACCAAGGAAGACTTAGGTTTGAAATCCCCGAGTGGACTGTTCAAGATCAGTATTACCCTCTAAGCACTGTGGCAGAGGTGGGGTTCACCTACACACGATTCTCTGGGGCCCGTGTGTGGGGAGTACTGGTTGTCAGGGAGTAAGGGAAAGAGGTGTGGGAGGGAGGGAGCCAGGGGGACAGCACTGTGCTTATTTTCAGTTTGTCAGCTGCTCTGGAAGGGGGCCAGAATGAGAGATACAACAAGCCTTCA